AAAACGAAAAACCCAACCTATGCTACTATATGTAGGTACGAGGCAAGTACGCTGTCCTTAAAATAGAGTTTGATTTTGAAAACTATTGCGAGTAATAACTTCACTACTAAACATAGAATGTTTATGAAAGTTGTAAGATAAATTTCGCATTAGAAACTAACGATGTTGCTACAAGATCAAGTTTACTGTTAGTGGAATAGCTATTTTCAACAACGTTTAGTACATAGAGAGAGAGAGAGAGAGAGAGAGAGAGAGAGAGAGAGAGAGAGAGAGAGAGAGAGAGAGAGAGAGAGAGAGAGAGAGAGAGAGAGAGAGGTAATAACTCTGGCGATTTACATTCATATGAACTGTATTTGTTTTAACATATAAAGAGAATAGCTAGTTTTATTTAACAAACCATTTTATATGCTCCTTTCAATCAAAATATTCATAAACAAATACATCCGTTTTCTTCCATTGGCAATATTGCTCATATATACAAAATAGTAAGTTTTTGTTTATTTTTGTTTTTATAACTATACTGAATTTCTAAGAACATGGTGTTTGTGGGTAACAATGGTTGTAATGGTTTCAATTCAATCTGTGCTGATTCGACTTTTCATCAGAAGGAAAAATAAAAAGCGTAAAAAAACTGACAAGCGATTAGATCTTACACTTTCAATGATTGTATTTTTTAGAGCCTCTTATGTATATCTATATTGTGTGTTTAAAGTTTGGTCCATGACTGATGATTTATTTTTTTGATTGAGCTATAAAAAGCTTGTTTACTAGTGTTACACCTTCTATTGATAATGAACCTGTTTACAGTTTGGGTTTGTTTTTATTGTTGTTTTAGGGCTTAACGCCCTTTTTCAGTACAAGATAGACTATAAATGGCAGCCAGTGTAACTAGTGGAAGAAATCCTGGGAAAACCCTAGAAAGAACCATCGACCCAGGAAAAGGAACTGGCAAGCTTTCTCGCATAACCACATTAGCCGAATACGACACTCAAAACCACGAAGACGAAGGTGAGATGACGGTGATCTATAACGATAAGCGCTTTAGATCACTCGACCACTCAGGGCCCCTACAGTATTGACTATTTTTCTGATTTGATGATTGAGTATAGCGATATATGTTACGTGGTGATTAGTTGTTAAATATATCTCGTAGTAATATATTGAAATAAAAAGACGTAATAGTCTTGGAGATGTACATGAAGACAGATGTGAACGATTATTTATATTCATATTATTGTTATTGTTTTAATCTCAACATGCAGATTTATTTAATGTTGTGGTTAGATTTATTTGAGATGAATCATTTACTTGAATTACGTACTATCATATGACTGTATGAACTAAAGAAACAAGTTGGAATTATTTCGACCTCATTCAAATAAATTCTAGACAATGTCGCTGTAACATACAGGAACTATAGGCACTTCAGCACAGTCAAGATTCTTGGCATTTAAGCACATTCAAGGACATTGGCACATTAGTGCATTCAAGACCTGGAATTCATTCAAAAGGTTATACTATTTTGGATTTGTGATATAATTTTTAGGATTATCTTTATATTTAGTTCATGATACTCTAAGGTCCTCCTAAAATTTCATTTTATATCTTAGAGAATTACATTATTTGTTAAGTTTAAAACAAGGTGTTGGGCTTCTTTCTGTTACTTAGTTTAAGACCAATGAGTCCTAGCAAGTCAAATAACTATGAAAATATGACTATTTAATTTTGAGTTGAGTAACAATAGCAAGCACAACCATTTGCCCAAACATATATAATATAGTCAATCTTAAATAATACTAATAATTTCAGTTTAATATTCATGTATAACGAGTGAATTGATTTAGTTCTCTGATCCTTGGGGAAATATACAATGTCATTCGCCAATAGTCATATTGCATAATTGCGATTGCCGAAATGAAGGAAACCATCGGGAAATGTTTGAAAAGTATACTCCCACAGTTATATTTATAAAGGGAAACGCCTTGTGACTTTTTTTTGTTATGTTTGGAGATGTTGTGTATATTTTGTGTACATGAAACTATTTCTTCATGTAAATATGTAATGTTTTCGTTAAATACCTAACTAGAAGATTTATGAAGAATCTCTCAAGGGAGGTAATAAAGATTAATGAGCTTAGGAATAGTCTATTCATAAATATTGTTAATGTCAGCTTCGGTTGGGTTGGGATGTAGTGAAATGCGATTGGGTACGGCTAGGGATTGAGTTTCAGTATAATCAATTTTTATAATCACGTTTCTCCCACCCCCAACCATCCGGTTTCATCACCTTTTATCCGAATCTGAGTTGTATCTCTTTTGATAGAAGTCCTTCCAGTTTACCCACTGGATTGTTTTATAGTACAGTTTACATAGAACATATATTCCAAACCAGTTTACATAGCACATATAACCCTCCAACCCAACCTATTATATTTTGGTCATAGTTTTAACGTTTGTGTGGTGTATAACATAAGAAACATGTTGGCCAGGTGTGTTAATCGACAACATTCGTAACTGCATAATGGTTGATTATTAGAAATTACAGACAAAGAGGTTACTTCCACTGATGTCTAAATTATGTTGATAACCTTTCATACCATGTCTATATTTCTTCAAAGGTACAACTTGGAGATCACATCTAAATGGTATGGCATTTTGGCGTAGCAAAGGTTTCTCTCGTATATATTGCAAGAATCAATTAAGAAAGGAACCCCGAACATTAAAGCATGTTAAAGCATAGTGTTTCTTTGTGTTGTTGTTGTTCAAGTTCAAGCCTTATATATGATTAGAGAAAAAAGAAATCTGCAAAATCAGTTTCAACTTATTTAACATTAGTTTGCCAACTATATTGCAGCTTTAAAACATTAGACCAGACTCCACACATTGTGTTGTATTTCAGTTCTTATTCGTGTGCAGCAAATTTAAAGTCCTGTTTACATTCTGAAGTAATCGCGTTATTTTGATTAGTTTTTGTGAGATTTCTTCTTCTTCTGTTTTTTTCCCACCTAATTATCAAAATTCCACAAAGCCGTCGAAGCAATTGTGAAAATATTAGTCTTATATTTGCTCGCTCTCAATGAAATCCAAAGAAACATTTTTGACTCCAATTCTTCGCTTTTATTACAAAATCACCAAAGTCCAATACGAAAATATTCAAATATGTTGATATCTATCTATCTATCTATCTATCTATCTATCTATCTATCTATCTATCTATCTATCTATCTATCTATCTATCTATCTATCTATCTATCTATCTATCTACCTACCTACCTATCTTATCTATCTATCTATCTATCTATCTATCTATCTATCTATCTATCTATCTATCTATCTATCTATCTATCTATCTATCTATCTATCTATCTATCTATCTATCTATCTATCTATCGGCGTAGACAACGGTTAATGCACTAAACTGTAACTACGGCTGTTTTTAAGAATTCATACAATCATATCCTGGAACCCCTTTTCCCCTCAATGTTTTGTTTCGTGTTTGCTATCTGTCAAGTGCATGTTCCAACGGCATGAGACAGCCGACATGGACTTGATTGGAAATAAAGTCCAACTTTGTACCAACTGAGCAACACTACGATATTAAAAATTCGATTGATTTATTTTCTAATTGGTCATGATCAAACCGACCCGCATTATAAACTCACCCTTGATGCAAGCTTTGCGTGGTGAAAAACGAGATGTCCCAATGCAACGATATTTTTCTCATCTTTACGCGTATGAAATGCTATATATCAGGTGTTATTGCCTTAACCAAGTCTATACAGATGCTAAATTTACATCAACAGTATCTTGTGGCTTTCTTTCGCAAGAAACTTTAAATTTCATTATCAATTAATTATTGGCCATTACAACTAAGATGCTCTATATTATGGTCACCCACTTTTACATTGGTCCATAGTTGTGCATGTCATTAGTACCGAGAGTCCAATAGTCTACACTATAATCCACACAATGTCAATCGGTTGGAATTGAATTTAAGTTTTGATAGAGACTGTAAATTATAGTTTGGATAAAATTAGGTTTTATGTGAACAAGAAAACGTTTTAGCAGTATCTAGAAGCAGCTTTATGACTTTTCTTTAAATTTTATGTAACCAATCATTTCATGTCGCTTGTAGTGGAAAGTGATAGGTTCACAAGTTAGGATGCGCGCGCGTGTATGTGTATGATTTTGATATTTAACTTAGTTTTAACAATTGTTCAATCATATTGATACGATGACTGCACTGTGACAGTTTACAGTGATGTCTAGCATAGAGGAATCATGTAGCACGATGTCCCAACCAGTCGCACTATCCATACACCAGGCCGACCAGTCCTAACACTAACCTCGTAATGATGAGCGTATAGCAAGGTAAACGTTTGTACCATTTGTATGTCTTTGATATGACTCTGCCGGGATTCGAACCCCGTGATCTTTTGCATCTGAGGCTGACGCTCTAACCACTAGGCCACAGGAGCGGTCGTAGATTAGGATGTACACATTTGTTTTGTATATTTAGTTTGAATTGTTTCTTAGTTTTTGTTTTTAATATTTTATATTTCATTATGTTATTGTAAAACGACATTGTATATTGGACTTAATCTTGTCCAAAATCAAGTATATTTCCTACTTGACCTGAATTATTGTTTTATATTTCTATAATGTCAGTTTTTCTTGTGTCACTTGGTATTTGTATATTATGCTTAAACGCGACTTGTTTACTTGTAATAATGTCAATGCATTTGGTTGATCCTGGGCTACCAGTTGTTGATTCTGTTTCTCACATACGGTCTGGTATTTGTATTCGACAGTCACGTGCGAGTTGCCTTAGCTGAATCAGTCAGCATACTGGTATATAAGAGAAAATCTTTCTCTAATTTGCAAATTCCATCAACAATTTTGCTTTAGTTTGTTTACTCTATCAAAGATCAAAAACTGCAATCGCTTCAACCGAGGCAAGTTCTTCTTAATAGTTAGCATTTTCCAAGGCCAACACTTATACAGTCATTGCATACCATTGCAACTGAACTTTATATATTTCCTAATTGTATTCTAACATAAATAATCATCTGTGTTTTCATAAAACTCATAATGTATGTTTCTAATTGGTGTTTTGGGTTTAATGCTAATTTTTTGCACATTATGGGATATAGATAGTGACCAGATGAAGAACCTGGGAAAACCCCCAATAAGAACAGCCAACACATTAGAATCCACTGGCAAGCTTTCTCACAAACTGACATTGGCTGAGCCCGTGATTTTTAAGCCCATGCAAAAGTGAGATGACATTGATTGGTAAAGATGAGTCCTTTAGATCAGACAGTCACCCAGGGACTCTCATTTTTTTTTTTTGAATCATGGTGTACGCATCATCAGACATATGTATTCCTCTGCATATACATATGGACTTAAAAATACGCACAGTGGATAGTATTTGATTGTACGACAATTTGCTGTAAACTACACAGCTGTGAAAGTAGTTTGCAAACCATAGGTAGTGCATTTTAAAAGCATATTTGCACCAGTCTGCATAAACCGAGGATCAATGTCAAATATAATTTTGTGTGTGAACATAACTTTCTTTAATTCAGTATCTGATCAAATCATTGCATGTTGATTATTATGATCACAATGTATCATTGTGGTGTGTCGAGTTTTGAAAACTCTCAGAAGCATTAGTTAAATGAATTGTATCAAAGTCAACTTAATTAAAGTAGAAAGGGCTAGAGATAGTTATATGATTATTTTCATTTCATCTCTGAACGTCAAAGAAAATTCGTTCCACGCGACGAAACTTGACCGAATCATATGCTATGGTACAAGGGGATGATATAAGACTCTTCCCAAAATCAACCGGTTAAAGGCGGAAGCTTGGCAATAATTGATTGTTCAAAGGAACGTTAATTTCAGCATGATTAGCTGTCTTGACAATCGAAAATTCTACGGAGAAGAGTTAGGAAACAGTCGATTCTGATTGGTTAATAGGGATTTATGGGCGTAACTCTGTAAGGAATTAAGGGTTTTGCTTTGGAGAAATTCTTCAGTCTTCAATCTTACTTGTGATAAGTTAGGGGTCGACTCCGGGGAAAGTGAAAGAAGTCTCTTGTGATTTTTGCAGTAAGGCGTGAGAGTTGTCTCAGAAAGTAGACAAACTCAACATTTGAGGTTCGTTGGAAAAGAATAAGAAACGGCAAAGGAAACAGCTTTCCTAAACTCTCCCGAGATTCCTGAAATGTCCTGTACATTCATGAGAAAATTCTGCAGCGTGAGGTCAGAAGTTCTCACCGCTGAAGTCTTAAGTACAATCGACTAACCGAAGTTTGACTGGCAAGAGTCCAGGTCCAGACAACTAGACAAGGATTGGCAGAGCAGGGACGAACGGAAGAATCGATGTCCGGATAAGATAGGTGATGATGTCACTCATCGTTGTACTCAAAGGTCACATCTCGTAGGCGATGAAGAATTGAATTAATTCTGTCACTGACAAGTAATATAAAGAAATTTGTATTATTTTATTTGAGTACATGTTAGTACATTTTTCCTTCTTTTGTAACCAAGTAATTGATTTCTTTCCATTTTAAAATCTGTTTTTATGCTGATTAAATTTTATATTTGTTCATTGAAAGGGGGCTCATTGTTTGTTTCTTCAATATATTTGTTCAGAGATCTGCATTCTTCTTTCTATCTATCCATACTGGGTAAATTACACCGCGGGAGGTCATTCCCTAGCAACGAACCGTAGTGGAAAGGTTGGTATGTTTTGAACGCTGCCAATTTATCACAATCATAATATGTAAATGATCACAACTTGTACAATTACATCTGATGTTCTTAAATGTCAAGCACTGCTGTATATTGACACTAGTTTTTCTCTTTGCATGTGAATCTCTTTCTACAAAACTTGTAACACTGCATCATTTGCTTACATTCTTCACTGTCAAACAAAGACTCATATTCATGTAAAGGTGTTGATCCCAATTCAATATATTACTGCTAAAGACATCTCTCTCTAAGTAATTCTTGATGATCTTCACTCTTAGGTTACTATATTTACTTGATGTTCCTAATGTCATTACTATCATCATCATTGCAGTATTTATTCATATTTTGTTGTCTAAATGTCAGCTACATCAGTCAGTTTCTTCCTATACAATATCAACGAAGGCTCTCCATGACTTTTTCCCCTCCCAAGTCATGTTTACCGGTACATCATTTCTACTCCAAGACAATTTCTAATTTGAATAAATTATCAATATGTCCAGGGTATGTTTTAACAAGTCTGACTAATCATTATGATGAATTAAAGTGAAACAGTAATTTAATCTTTTTCTGTAACACTGGCCACAATTTGATATGTCAATATATTCTTTAAAAATAATATGCATATCAATTTGTGACTTTGCCATTTATATATAGTGCGGTTTTTGTTTATTATAAAAATAGTTGGTATAAAATGATTTTAGACTATCTATGCCACAGAAAATAAAATCATTGTAGTGGTGACCAATATTCCTATTTCTGCAGTTACACAAGAATTTTTAGTATATACACAATCAATAATATAGGCCTGATTAAAAACATTAGTTGTGTGTAATGCAATAGGGGTCACTTTCTTTACCACACATGTACTGATGCAGCTCATGGTCATGATGAAAAATTGTTTATACAATTAAAGTCATGGAAGTAGTCTTTTGTATATCTTATGAATAGGACCTTGTCAGACCCTTTGCAGTGCATCTGGGCTCAACTGACCTATTTATTTTGTTTGGTTCATGAGTCAATGACTGCTGGTAAGACTAATGAAAGCACCGCTTTACACGGGAAAAGCACAGATGTGAAGGAATACAACCTTCCAATTTAGAGATGTTGATGAAAAACATGACAAAGACTGAAAGAAAGAAATGTAAAAGAGCATGTCAATACAATTTATTTTCAATAAATAAAAAACCTTTTCTTTTTTAAAAAATCACCATATTAAATAATAAGAATAAGCTTCTCTAACTCAAAACCATAAAACAAACATGCAATGTTTTAAACCTAAACATATTTACAAGGTTGACAAATAGGGTTGAAATTATTGTGTCAGATTAATATAGCAGTTGCTGATGGACACAAGATGCATGATGGATTAAGGGCAATACAAAAAGCACAAGCAAAAGGTATTAATAGGAGAAGCTCACTTGGCTTTACAGCCAAGTTATTTAAAACAGGAGCTCCTTCAAGCAACGATACTCTGCTGGCCAAAATAAATTTCCAGGAACCAATTACTGTTTCTTTTTGTTATCTGATCTGTGTGGAAAATCTGATATTCTGGATGAAAAAGACAATTTTCAAAATGGCCACCATGGCAACTATATTGGATGCAACATTGGGGCTTTTTTTAAAATTAAAGTCTTCTGATGAAAACCCTATGTTGATATGACCATTCATTTAGGAAGAGTAGAGATACAATGACTTTCAAAACAGTCATTGTAGCAATCATACCGTCTCTGCTTATTGGCATCAATTAAGACCAACCCACACCATAGGGCTTGTACTTAAGTAATAAGACCAGGCAAAACCACACAAGCATTCAAGTCTTCCAAAATATAATTTTTTATACAACCAACTTCTCACTTATCCAGTAACTGTTTCAAAGTATTATGAATAAAGTTTCTAAAGTGCTTATTAACATCACTGAATTTAACATAGTTATTAATCCAAATGTTTTTACTTCAATGTAATCCCATGAACATAGAATATCACTTAAGTCCTTGAGGGTTTTGCATAATCTGATAGAATTAGTTATATAATCAAATCCTTAAATAAATCTGCATAATCTTCAAAATACTGTTTAAATTAAAGATAATCTACTCTGTTAAATAAAACAAAAGTATTATAAATAAATCACAAGTTCCTTCTAACTTTTACAAAGCTGGTGTAACTGCTGAACATAATAAGTTGTGCATATTGTCATTATATAGTTACTAAATAGTAAGTATATCACCAAATCAACAATATCTGATTCACAATAATTTCACAAATAATTAAATAAGATTAGTTCACAATACATATAATGCAAATAGTCATAATGTATCAGTCTGGCATAATGTATCAGTCTTGCTCTAATCTTCTCAAATGATTGAACCAATGAAATGCTATCGCATGCATGATAGCTGCTCACTGCAGCAAAAATGCAATACTAATTCCATGTGATGCTTATGTAAACTCCATTCATTTTGGAATGGTATTCTTCACTAACTCAGTTGTTGATTTGACCTTAGCAATTGGGCTTGTTATGAATGAAATTCCTCTGATTTTAACCAAGAAGTAGGAACCATAAGATTTTCAAGATGGTAGCCATATGGAATGTCAGATTGGTACATATTTCATTTAGGACTGACTATATATATATATATATATATATATATATATATATATATATATATATATATATATATATATATATATATATATATATATATCACAAAAATCTTCTGGTG